CGTTGTGTTCTCTTCCCAATATGTATAGGTAATCATGCGATGTTGCTCGTACAATTAGGGATTAATAGTGCGAGTGATGTTTGGAAATTTTGCCAAAATTGGATACGTACTTCTCATTGTCAACATCATATTCTCTCGCCAAAGCCCGGCCCTGCCAGACTTTCATCCAAAATTTGGTGCTTTTGTTCGTTTTTTCGTTTAGTTCCTTTGCTAAACCAAACTTTGCTGCTTTTGTTCATATTTTCATCTAGTTCCTCAAGGGCAATTTCAGTTCATGTTTGTGTTTAATACCTTTCCGCCATTTTGTTTGTTTTGAGAAAATCATTAATTGTACTGCAGTACAATTAATGAAATAATTGTACTCCTGTCAACCAGTCAGCATCCAGTAATTTTGTCATGCTAATAATAAACGAGGTAATATGAATGCTTCATTTCATGTTGTTGGTATTAAAGATCATTCAATCATTTGTCCATTGGTGCAATGTATGAACAAGGTCCAATGATTTTTCTTTTTGTTTGTAGAGAGATTACGCTGACTGCGAGTTGCTTTGATGGGAAAAGGCAATTGCTTGATTCACTGAGATCAAATTTTCCTGGAGGAACTATGAACTTGGAGAGCCATGGCAGCAACAGCATTATCTTGACATACTGGCAATCGCTTTTGGAAGATTACAGGAATGTTTTCAACAAAAAAGATGACGCTACAGCGAGAGTAGTCAATAGCACGTCACATTTTGGTCATCAAAACATTCCAAATTCCAATTATTATTGGTTTCTTGAGCCTGGGGTAAGTATTCGACGTATATTATTATTTGTATTCAAAGATAATAGCCGGGTTAGTGTATTTTAACCTTGTATATAACACATATGGCAGGCATTTACTGCATGATGACTAATGTTTTAAATATTAAAAAAGTCAAGCATGTATATTCTTGCAGCTAATATATCTAACATTGCAAACATAGAGAGGATACATTTCATATACAAAGATCAGAAAAAAAATGCTTCCAAATTTGTTGGTCTTAAGCCGGTTTTCCACTTGCAAATTTTTTCGTGCAAAGCGAATTTTTCTTTTGTCTTTATCCAATCAGACCAAAGACAAATGAAAAATTCGCTTCGCATGAAAAATTTCGCAAGTGGAAAACCTGTACTTCATAGATAATTTTCATTAACCTATATTCGACAAAACATTGTAGAACAAATTGCATCCATTAACCAACATATGTATTGACCATTGTTGAGAAATTTTTAGTGTGTCCTCACACACGCAAAGGTATATAATCAAATGCCTATGGCTATAATCACAAAAAATGAGGTCCTATAGCCACAACATTTTACATAGGCAGCCCAAAGGCCAAAACTGTGTTACACTGTGTGGCAACACTCTCTTAAGCTCTCTGGTTTTTCGAAAATTGTTTGCTTTTAAATTATAGTTTTTGAATAAACTACATTTCAAATTGTTTCTAACCATTTGGTGATTTCACTTGTTTAATTTTGGAGTTGTTTTGCAACATATTTTTCGAGATATTCTGCACGAAATTTTGTGTGTTGTAATATGTCTCGCCGCACAAAGAACAGTATGTCTACGCTTTCAGAAGCTGATGTTGAAAAGTTTGTGGCGGAATTGTCCAGCACAGATGAAGATAAAGAACAAATTTGCCCAACAGAGATGTCTGACCATAAAAACCAGGATGAAAATCATAGAAGCGAGACTTGTGGCAAAACAAACGAGCGAAAATTAAGCGAGCATGTGCTTGATGTTGCTGGTAAAGACGAAACCGAAGTCGACAGGAAACATTCAATGTCAGAACCACAAAGTGATTATAAATGAAATTAAACTAACCAAAACGAAGATCGAGAAAAATCAACTATAAAAGCAATAGAATCAGATGAAAGGATAAAATCCTTGCACGAGGAAAACTCCAAAGTGGTGGAATAGATCTAATGTCTTAAAGCTACAATATCCGAACTTGTCACTGACAATGAGAACAAAAAAATTCTCGACGTCAAGCAAAATGAGTGGCGGAAACCAGATCCATCAAATTGTAGTCAAACTGCAACAACGCTACCAACCTCAGTACAAAACCAGTTTGAACTGCTCAATTATGAAAATTGTGAGAGCAGAATATCATTGCCTGAATTGCACTCAAACGAGCAAACAACACATACGTAAATAGCCAGATTTATGAATATAGATCAAAGGCACAATCGAAGTTTGAAAACCGAAAGAACCAAACTCATGCGCAGCAGAAGGAAAAGAAGAACCATCATGTCCATGCAAAGAAGACCAGATCCGAAAAACGAAAAGAAATTAAAAAAGTCTTGGTAATCAGTGACTCGATGGTGAAACACATTGATCGGGTGAAAATTGAGCGAGCTTCAGGCTGCCAATCAGTCGTCCACTCTTACAGCGGTGCAAGAGTAGAACAAGTCAGTTCAAAAATTAAAGAATATTGGTCAGGGGGAGCAGTATGACACAGTTCTCCTTCATGTGGGCATCAATAACCTTGCTTCTGAAGAGCCAGTAGAAGTGGCATCTAAGATGGATGGGCTTATCAAAGACCTTAAAGATCACACCAAGAAGATTGCCATCTCAAGTATAATTAAAAGGTATGATAACCGAGTTCCGGCTAGCAAGATAACTCGTTTTAATAACTTTGTTAAAAACTTATGCATGAAACATAATGCCACATTTTTAGATAATGACCACATTGACAGGTCATTACTTAATCACTCTAATTAATTTGCACTTAAACCAACAAGGTGATACGGTGCTAGGGAGAGTTTTCTGCACATATCTGAAGTCGTTTAGACTAGGTAATAATAGGCAGTTTTTTCACCAAGCTCATGGACATTGGAACAGAGAATGGACAATGTACATGAAATATGTGAATCAAATAATGAAGAATTAGTCCTATTTCTGTAAACAATGTGAGTAGCGATTTATTCACTAGCCTTAATTCCATTCCCAATTAAAGAGGTTTTAAGAGAGCATCTCTGTAAGAGCGGACCACTCGATCTGGGCTTCAAAAATAGATTTCTCTTATATTTCTACCGTCGATACTCTCATCTATCCTAACTACGAAACTGGAGTTAAGATCGTTCAAACGTGCCCGGACCCAAGTTAATTAAAATATGCCGGTTTCTGAAATCGCCAAAGCCTACAATCACAGTCAGCTTTTTCTATTTTCTCTGCTAATCAGAGCTTCGTTTTCGGGTCTGAACTGCACTAGAGTGCTCTTTCTACTAAGAAACAGTAATTTATAGCTGTTTAGTTGCACCTGGCAAATAAAAAAAATTTAGTGATCGAGACACTTCAAAGCATGTGATATCAAATTCGAGAATTATAGCTCCTAAGCATTGCAGAATTCTCATTTGTGGCACCTGCCCAGGTTCTAAATCGCTTTTAAACTTTGAAATAGGATGCTATTCCACACATCCACACAATAAAATTTGCGGCACATGGTATTTCTAAGAAATCAGGAAGTTGACAATTTTTGCATTTTTTAGCTATTTCTCCGTGTGACACCGTCCCTGTGCTGTTAGCCGCAGTGTTACTGTCCAAAAATCAAGAATACATTAAAAACTTGTTCCTAAATGTCCTTTCCCTGATTATTAAAGGTTTATTTAAGTAATTAAAATGACTTGTATGATTTTAGAAATTAATTAATAACAAGGCGCTCGAAAGAGCATTAATTCGCTGGGGCTAGAGTGTATAAAAAACTGAGCAGATTTGAAATTACGCACAATTTCGAAAAACAGCTATTAGTATCCAGTTTTTGATGTATATAGCTTCCTTGGGTACTTATAATGTAGAATAATGAAAAAAAAATTCAAAATGGCTTGCGCACAAAATTTAAAAGCTTTAATCATATTTTGAGTTGATAGATGGAAAATGTGTTAGGTTTTTAATTAATGTGCAAAATTTCAGACGATTTGCTTTAGTTTAAGCCTTTAACTATTCATTTTTTCCTACAAAATCAGCCCGCTTTCGCATGCTTAATTAATGCCTTTACCTAATTTGCATATTGCTGACATATGCAAATTAGGCAAAGGCATTAATTAAGCATGCAAATAGCTGATTTTGTAGGAAAAAATGTAAGTTTGCATTAATAGTTAAAGGGCTTAGACTAATGCAAATTGTCTGAAATTTTGTACAGTAAATAAAACCCAACAAATGTTCCATCAATTAACCCAAAATATGATTAAAGCTTTTAAATTTTGTGTGCAAGCCAGTTTTTTGTTTGTTTGAAAAGACACACCCCCTGGTTCACAAAATTTGAGTTCGGGAAATTTTTTTCTTTATTCTAGATTATAAGTACCCAAATATGCGAAATTGAGAGCACATTCATGCGATAAGAGCACAACCCTTTTGCAAAATTGCGGTGTCGGTCACTCCGTGCTAAGTTTATCACAGCTACCACGGCAGACGGTCTGGTTTTATGCACCGTTCGGATCAGCGTAAGAAATTCTACATACGGATGCCAAATTCATTACTAAACAGCAGTATTCTAGCAATTTATGGCCTTTGAAAGTCAAGCGAAATTGTATTGTTGACAATTGACAAATCGCTCAAAATTATTAGAACTAATTAAAAATGCAGTAGGTTTGATCCTTGATAACTTTTGTGTTGTTAGTTTTCTCGTTTTTGGCCGTATACAAATGGATTCGTCTCACTTTTCTCTTCATTTTGATTGTATTTTGATCCGACAATAGTTTACTTTGAAGGTTTTAAAGCAAAGTTATAAACAAGTGTGCAGAATAACTGCCTGCCAACAGCAAGAATGTAGCATACTACAAATTTATATATCCTTTACTTGTAGCACAGCTCGTAGGCGGAAACGCAGGAAAGTTTTATTTGTAAAGCACCGCATTTTAGTACCGTGTCTGGTTTACTCTGTTCTTATAAAAGCATGGTTACCATTTAGCAGTCTTTTATCGAGTTTATATGTCATGACAATTGATCCTGTGCATCGCTGTCTTTGTATTTCTGTCTTTGTCGGGCTATAATTTGTCATTTTGACTGCTTAACAGGATTTATTTGGCATTAATACGAATCAGACAAAGGACATTTAGGAATAGGTCTTCAACGTGCTGTTGATTTTTCGGCAATAATAGTGAGGCTAGTAAACAAACAGTAGGGACTGATATGCATGCTTATTGGATTCTTGTGTCACACACAGAAATATAGCTAAAAAATGCAAAAATTGTGAACTTCTGATTTCTTAGAAATACTATGTGCCGCAAATTTTATTGTGTGGATGTATGGAATAGCATCCTATCCCAAAGTTTAAAAGTGATTTAGAACCTGGGCAGGTGCCACAAATGAGAATTCTGCAATGCTTAGGACCTATAATTCTCGAATTTGATATCACATGCATTGAAGTGTCTCGATCACTAAATTTTTTTATTTGCCAGGTGCAACTAAACAGCTATATATTACTGTTTCTTAGTAGAAAGAGCACTCTAGTGCAGTTCAGACCCGAAAACGAAGCTCTGATTGGCAGAGAAAATAGAAAAAGCTGACATATTTTAATTAACTTGGGTCCTGGGACAAAAACTCGCATAGCGGTTGTAAAAACCATGTTTGAATGATCTTAACTCCAGTTTCGTAGCTAGGATAGATGAGAGTATCGACGGTAGAAATATAAGAGAAATCTATTTTTGAAGCCCAGATCGAGTGGTCCGCTCTTACAGAGACGCCCTCTTAAAATGGCTTTTCTTAACATTGTTAGTTTGCCAAAACAAATTGATAAATTAAGGTATATTCATCGTCAAACAGGTTGGTTGGTCTTATTGCTTTCAATGAGACTCGCCTAGACTCAAGTATAATTGTATGATTCACCTTAATTGATTATGATATTATTAGAAAAGACAGATCAAGAAATGGAGGTGGAGTTTGTATCAACTTGCATAGCTCCATCAACTATATTATAAGACAAGATCTATTAATTTCCTCTGAATTGGAGGCTGTCTGTGTGAAATTATTAAGCCACATAGTCGACCATTTCTTGTTACAACCATTTATAGACCACCCAATACATCATCTGAATTCTTTGATCATTTTGAAAAATTAATTAAAGCCATTGATGATGAAAATAAAGAAATGCATATTCCGGGTGATCTAAACTGTGATATGCTTAAAACAGACAAAGATTCATATTTTCCAACAAAGAAAATCCAAACATTGTATGAGTTGTATCAATTGTCACAATTGATTGATGAAGCTACCCTCTATGAACCTCTAGTCTTAATATTGATCATATAGTCGCCAATACACCAGAGAAAATTTCTGACTCTGGTGTTATCCATACTGGAGTAAGTGACCATAGTTTGGTATTTGCAATAAGGAAAATTTCAGTTGTTAAAAAAACAAGAGGAGAAAGTTGAGATAAGAAATATGAAAAAATTTGATCATCAAAAATTTGAGGCGACAACCCTGGGAAAATGTATACTTCTTCGCTGAACAGCCTAACACTATGTGGGAGATTTGGAAGGAATTATTCTTAGAGGTCTTGGATAACCATGCACCACTTCAACATAAAAATATTAAAACAAAAAAAGTTCCTTGGATTACAAGTGCTATAAAGCAACTTATAATCGCAAGGGACAGATTAAAAGGAAAGGCCAATACTACAAATCTAGAGATAGACTGGTTAAATTACAAAACAACAAGAAACAAAGTTAATATTCAGCTAAGAAATGCTAAAAAAAATTATTACTCCACTAAAATATCTGATCAAAAATGCAATCCTAAAGAGGCTTGGAAAACTATAAACGATATACTAGGTAGGCAAAGCAAACCAACAGTAATAAATGAGTTGAAATTAG